TGTGGTAACTGCAACCTTTTTTTTCTACCAGTGTATATCGTATTAACAAGTAATTAACTAGCGTTATTTGCGGGAGCAAATCCGTAGGGAGTAAAGTGTCCGGGTCTTAATCTTCCGGACGAACGCGGGTTTTCGAGGAGTGAAAAGGTAAAATGGTTTCCGCGCCGCTGTCAACGCTGTTACACCGTGCAATCAACAATCTAACGTATGATTAATCTAATGTACAATTTCCGTATTTGCTCTCGCGCGCGCGCGCACGCTGACGCAACCCGGCAAAAAGAGACCGGCGTAAGATAAACAAATGAGGGAGAATGAGTCGCTGGAATATCGATATATAGCCGGAGGTACGAAGTGGCGTCTTGAGGATTTACATATAATCAGCGAGCGGGTAGTCGCGCCGGGGACCCGCGGTGAGTACACGCGACTCAAAGGTCGCCTTGTTACGAGGTGATTCCTCGAGTGGCGAGTGGTCTTTGCCATTTCCCATGAGCGCAGCCATAAAGGCGGCGGAGGTCGACCGACCGACCGACCGACCAAGCAACCCGACCAGCCAACCAACACGATGGATCACAGCGATAAGGATATATGCAGCGTGTTCTGCGGCTTGTACGGTACACCGGAAGTGATCCCAGCGCGCTCGCGCGCGTTTCGAGGAACGGTCCGAGAGAGGTAACCAGTCCCCGTCGTTCCCGTCTCGCGGCAGCCACCGTCTCTTGTCTCCGCGTTTCTGCGCCCGCGGTGATGTTTGCCGATATATTTTCGCGTGGGCGCGGATCGACCGACCCGAATGCCAGCCGGCTCTCTACCTTTTACTTCGGGATACGCCAAACGAATGCTGTCTACGTGGGCAGCGCGGAGTGGTATTATAATAAAGTCCCGCGGAATGATAGAAAGGTGCAGGATGCTAATAATAGCCTTTCGCAGGGTCGCCGCAGGTCGGCAGGTGTGCTTCGCGGTATCTACTGTTGCCCGGATCGGTGTCGTCGACTCGGCGTTGTTATTGCGAGCCTCGTGACGTGCAGTCTCGGACGGAGCCGAGAGAGAAAGAGAGAAATGTTTCAGCTCGCGCGCGATAAGCGAGAAAAAGAAATTAAAAAATTAATAAACGCCCCGAACCAGTTGCCTGATTTTATTTAGAGTACTTTGTACTCGGATATAATAAGAGCGGCTTTGTACGACCAAATGACATTGCAATATCGGCGATCTCGGCGATCGGGAGAAAGCCGTAAAAGCCGATAGAGCGACGCAGAAATCGAAACAGCCGTCGATGCGAGAGCGATTCTTTTCTAAGTCTAAACCCACACACAGGCGTAGACGAGTCGTAAAGCGTGTAGCCTAGCAAAAATAAGACCAAAACCGTTAATGGCCATTCGCACAACCGCTAGTTGGGTGGTAAATGTCCATCGGCCATAAATCGTCCGTCCCGATCGGTGGCGCGGTCTTATATCGCGCGCGCCGCAGCATCGGAACAAAACGACAAATGGAGCGGTTTGAGCGCATGCAGAACGCTTTCCGGAAAATTTATGACGCGCGTCTAATTGTCGGTGTTCCCGGCGTATACACCTGAAATTGCGCGCGTACACGCTCCGACAGTTTAATTTCAAGAGCAAAACAAGAGCGGCGAGACTCGAGCCGCGTTATCCGACGTCATATAATCGCCCCTCAAAAGAAAGATCGCTCGGGGATAAGAAACGCGTGTCTCGAAAAAGAAACGAGGGTCTGCCACGCCGAGACAAAGAGTCCCTCGGCGGTGTCGCGCGCGGGGAGCTCGCTCCTCGAGGGTTTGCGTCGCGGCGAATTCGCGCGTGTCTCGCCGGCCGACCACTCGAATTCGGAGCGCGCGCCGATAATGAGCGCCAGATTAAACCGCGCGCGGCGGACACGTTCGAGCCCCGGGATTCCCACGACGTGGAGCGCGGACTCGGCAAAGGCATCCACGCCCCAGAAAGCGACGTATCGAGTTCCACGATAACCCGCTCGCCTCGGCCACGACGTCCGTCTTCGACGCCTGTCGTCGCCGGGGCTCCCTGGAAGTTGTGCAACGCGGTGCACACGGCTCGTTTCCTTCGCGATCTCTCGGTGCACGACGATGTAGATCATGCACTTTTTTTGCCGCGCCAAGATAGAGATCTTGCTCGCGAATGAAACCGAAACTGGCCGCTCCCACGTGAGCGTTAGGTGCCGCTTGTCGTTGTGAAGCTGCGACGCGCGATCATTTCGTTGACCACCGCGAGGGGAGATGTAAATAAGTGTACAAACAATGCACGGAGTCGAGATTACAAAGTTCTCCTGATTACTAATATGTGCTGTACCGAGCCGTTTACAACACACGGGAAGAAAAATGTAGCTAAAAACTGCATGCGGTAATTAAATTTCAGTTGTAAAATATGGACAGCCAATAGTTGCGCTAGCTAAACATTTTGCTACTGTGCCTATTGTATTAGGTGAGACAGCAAATCGCTCGCTGTGGTTTAGAAATTTATAGCCATGGCAGCAAACATTTTTAGCAAACCATGATTAGCTACGATAACGAATTTTTTCTTTCAATTATGTAAGGTATCGCAACGTGAAATATCTTTGAATGAACAACGATATTTGATTCCATTAGCTATGCAGACGCGGACGAGCGGGGAGCGTGAGAATAACTTAACAAAATTACCTTTTTACAAAGGGTACAAAAAGAGCCAAGTATACGCGTAGGAAGAATAAATATATAATGAACAAAATTTCGGTAAAAAAAGTACTCAAATCTACCTTTTTTACAAAAGGAATGAAATCAACAAATTGCACCAACTGTAAAACTCGTATTAAAATGTTATATCCAATGATTATAGAATACGATTTTATATAGTCAAAGTTTCGAGCGCATTGTTTTACGTAGCAATATAATATGCATATTAATAAAAACATGAAAGATGTGTAAATAAAAAATTAAACATTCTCCATTCAATTAAATGTGATTATAAATAGTTTCTAAATTTTTTTTATATTTGTCAATTTTATGCAACACCTTTTATAATTCGGTCGAAACGTTTGATGATTAATTTATAAATTCAGTAAAAAGTTCCATATTGGACAATTTTGCACGAATACCTGCATGCGTTTGGCTCGCATAGTTTTCTTCCCTCCCCAAAAATGTGTTTTGGAATACTCTTCTAAAATTGTTGAAGAGATGCGTGCACTCAGAATTTGAATAGAATAAAAGACTTTATTGGAAGAAATAATTAGCTAGGCAGACGCGGACGAACGTGGAGCGTGAGAATAATTTCGCCAAGTAGTCGGAGTACAGAGCGGTCGAAGTCTAAATAGGTATCTTCGCATTCAATGAGCATCGAGCGTGAGAATGATGTTTGAGACGAAAGTGGAAGGCATTGCCGTGGCCGTTTACATACGACCCGGCTGCGCGGAGATAGACGTCGGCGTAGAGGCGGACAACGAGACAACTTGTCCTGTCAGCGAGACGCCCCGAAAGAATAGGAGCGAAGGAGGAAGCTAGGAAGCGCGGCGGGACTTATTCGGCCTATTTACGGCAATTGTTTAACGGGAGCTCGCGAAGCGGGCGTTTTCTACACGTTAGTTACACGCGTAATTGGAGATCCGCTCTTTCCTGTCTAGCCCTGTCTCGCGAACAACAAAGGCAACCGTTGACAGACGTGCAGGGAAATTGCAGAGTTGCGCTTTAGAGAGGGCGGGCCCGCGATCGCACGAACTTTAAATAGAGCTCCTCTCCGCCGCGCCGGCACCAAACCTTTAATTATGCACGATCGGTGGAGCAAGTGGCCTCGCGAATGCATTGTCGAGCCCTGGCATACTAGCCGCGATTACACTGATTAAAATATTTCAGCGAACTAGACGAACTGTACCGCCTCACGTCGACGTTGGCAGTCGACTTTCCCGCACTGCGAACGGAGAGCTTCTCTATCGGTGGTAAACCTTTAATTATAAGCGATCGGGCGGCGATTTCACAAATAGACATTTCTGTGCGCGGCATATCGTTTACGATTGGAATAAAATATTTTATCGCGGATAATACCGCGATATGTAGGCGAGCGGGATGTACGTGTCTTACGCTGGCATTGACTTTCTCTGTGTCTTGGATCGGCTTGGATGGGAAATTTAGAGATTCGTCGCACGGACCGTGGCGCGGGCAGGCCTCGCGGGGAATTTCGAGATTCCGCTCCCCGAGTTTAGAATAATCCATATTCTTTTTGTGGGCGTGAACCAGATGTAGGAGAGCACGCAGTCGCGGTGTCGCCAGGTTACCGTAAAACGTGACTGGAAGAACAAGGGTCTCGATTCTCCCGCAATATCCCGAGCCGCTGCTCCGCCGCCCGGGCTTAATAAACTCGCCGTCCTTTTTCACGTCCGCCGCGATCGCGACTTGTTCCTCGTCTTCATTCGTGGAAGGAATTCGATTAATGCGCAATTGGAACGACTGTATCTCCGTTGCGTCCATGAAGCCCCCGGTGGTCACGAACGCGGCATAAAATGCAACGTGACTCCTTCCCATCGCCGTGTGTTTCCCAACGAAACACTTAGCGGTCGTTACACGTATGGAAATGCGAGCAGCCTCGATTTCGTCTAGAAAGGCATTAACACGAGTGCAATTTAATTCGAACGTGTCACCGGATTTGTAGAGCAGAGTAGCCGTCGCGTTCCACCTTGCGGCAGCCTTGAGAACAAAATTGCGAAGTCGCGTTAGAAGACGAACGGAAATTTGCTCGCGACGGCGACAGAAATAAATGGAAAATCTAAAATTACGACGTCTCCACTTATTGCTCACTTAATCCCCGAGGGTGCTAATGTGACGAACGGTCGTAAAATCCGGCGCGCGGGACTATAACGGCGCAAAATTGGTATCTGAGGCATAAAGCAAGTTACGTAAAGCGACTACGGCCGCGTTGATGATAACTCGCCGTTCAATTAATTCCCAGAAAAATAGCGCGGCCCGCGGACGAAGATGCCGGCGTTAATAATCACGAGCCTCTCCCGTTTTGCAGGTGATATAGAGGACTGTCTGGTGGCTCCAGTTTCCCAAGGTCAGTTCACGCCGCTGCCAGAAGCCTTGTGCTGGGCCATTCTGGAGCTGACTTCCCAGCGGCAGGCGGCGACCTTGGACACCCTCAGATCAGCCCTGAGGAATGCCTTCCCGGCCATGCAGAGGCCCAGCCGCGAGCTCGTTTACGACGCGCTCGCCAAGCTCATGCAAGAACGAAAGATCTATCACACGTCTCAGGGCTACTTCGTCGTAACGCCCGAGACCAAGAGGCTTAGACGCGACTCCGGTAGCTCCAGGCGGTGTTCCAGGGACGTGAACGGGTCCAGAGGTCAGGGTAGCATGCTGATGAGCAACGACGAGGCGGTGGCGCTCGTACATGGCGAGATGCTCACTCTGCGAGACGGCGATGTTACGCATCAGGCTGTACAGACCAACCTGGCGGACGTTATTTGCGGAGGTAAGACGACGAGTCTCGCTAATTATTTTCTGAGCCTGACGTCACCCCGAGCCGTTCTCTCAATAGACAAAGTCCATCGTCTCCCGTATGCGGCGTTTCGACGTGTACGCGACGACTTTGGAGGAACGTTATTAGTCGAACATTCCCCTCTGCCAGGTTTTCCGGACATTTCCGTTCAAATGTGAAAACGCGAGGTAACGTGAACGCTGCTGGACGAGACAGGCTATTAATCGCAACAAGCGTAGATATACGTCACGCGCTTCCACGAGAGGAAGCTGTCGCGCTAGAAGCTGACGCTGTAAAAATATATATCGGCTGTATAAATCGCGCGCGAGAGACGGTGTCGGGTGACGACGCGATTAACGTGCTTTCGTCTTCATTCGGTAGTAACCCGCGGAGTTCCGCGCGTCTTATTAGATAGAGTGTCGCGTATCCCGTTGTCTCCCGTGGCGCGCGAGAAGTTATCCGCGAGGGAAAGTTTCCCGTAACCACGTTCCCCGTTGAATCGCCGCGCCGTCCCGCGATATCAATCGCGGCAGTTAATTTATAACGCGTTGCCGATCAATTTAAACGCGTTAGCACCGTTTCCACGACGCCGTGAACGTGCATTACGCTGCGGAGACCGAAATTATGCTTCAGGAAAGTACTAAATATAGTGCGACAGAGTGGAGAAATTCTCGTTATTAAATAATATAGTCGCTGAGAAATTTATGTACGCTGCAGGCGTGACATAAAGCGTGTGCGAAGAGGGGGGGGGGGGGGTCAATTCTGTGTCTTACAGCACAGTGAAAATGTTAAAAGTGAGCGGCCTTGTCTCTTTTTAAGAGGACGGTTAGAAAGAGACGAGTAAACCGCCGATCGAAATTATGTACAACAATGCCCATTCTGGGGAAAAAGAAGACGGTCAGCAACCCATTTTGGGGCCCACAATTAGTAATCAAATTATTTTGGATTGTTCGTAACTGGATTCTGGGAAAATTTTTCACCGTTTCTTTTTGTAGTTAAGCAACTTAACATTTCGGTTAGTGCCTCTTAGGTGAGAATTAACTTTGCGTTACTGAATATCGACAGAACTAATTGAGAGAATTGATTAGTGTAACTTTAAATCTTTAGTTAGATTAGTACAACTATGTCTTGGATATAGATAGAACAGCTAAGTGCCAATTTTTAGTTACGCGGGGTAAAATTCATGAAAGATTTAAGTTACGAACAATCCAAATAATTCGGTTGCTAATTGTGGGCCCCAAAATGAGTCGCTGTCTTTTTTTTCTCCCAGAGTGGACATTATTTTATCTGATAATTGGCGCATTAATAATTACTTTGTTTGTCACTGGAAAGGGTTACCTTCAGTGACCGAAACGTCTGACATCAAATTAAACATGTCGATATTTATATTGTCAAAGAACTGACTATTGTGTTCCGTTTCGTCTTCCATCTCATTACAAACATATCGTCAAATATCAGTTTATCGTCACATGCTCCTAGCGCCCTTGTCATAATTAATAATTATTTTATCTTAGTTTTATCTCGTTTTATCCTATTCTAAAATATACATTCAATATTACACATTGATCGAAGACAATTTTTTCAAAAAATTTAACGGTGGTATAAAAGACTGGCAAAGTTGAGAAAAGTTAGCAACGATACTGAGTCACTACAGAGAACTAATGCTCCAGCAGGATCTAATGCCCAAACTAATGGACAAAAATGCCTAGTAATGCCCGGTAATGCTGCAAATCTGTACACCACAGTGCCCTCAGCAGTTTACCCTTCGGAAAGAGACAAAGCTACTCGCTTTTAGCATTTTCACTGTGGCGTAAGGTACAGAATTGACCCCCCGAGGTGCGTTCGCGCCGCGTTATCGTGCCTCGCGCAATTTTTGCGACGCGCGACGCCCGATGACAAAAGGACGACGCGCACAAAGGACGAAGGGATAAGCCGGGCGCGAGGCCCGAGATCGATTTTGCCGTGTGTCTCGCGGGAGGATGCGCGGGAAGCTGTGGGCCCTCGTAAAACTCGCGAGAACGAACTCGCTCCGTCCGGCAGACCGGTCGGTCCAGGCAAACTCGTTCGGCACGTGTTCGGGAAACGTTCCGATTGTGTCCAGGAGAGGAGAGCAGTTCGCTAAGAGCTGCTCGCTCCGCGAGGGCCTTTTTCTGCCGGCGACTATACTCGACGGACGGGTCGGGAGAGCGTTTATGTTGTTGTCGTCCTTGGTAGCCGCGCAAGCCTCGCCGCCGGAAAGATCGTCGATTCCTCTCGCGACCGCGTACGAAAAATCAGCGCGCGATCTTAATTTCGCCTTTTGCCACGTTCGCGGAAGTGCGTCCCGGGGAGGGACAACGTTCGCTCTCCGCCACACACACGCCCGCTCGCATTCTTATTCCCGACCTCCGTCGTCAGCGTTTCTGGAGCCGAGAAATCAGGGCTGCGCTGATCCCCCCTCCCGATTACGCATGAAAAATCCCGACGCAATTGTCGTTTCGCTGCGCGACAGAAGTTCTCTGCGCACTTTTTCTCGTCCTCGCGGCAAAAAGTTCTCGCGTTTCATGATATATCGCCGGTCGAGACCTTTATACCACAACGCAGGCGGAAGCTTCTTGCGGCGTGTCCTTTTTCAGTCTTTTTCTCTCAATGTTGAGTGCGTGCCATGCGTACGCGGAGGAGAATAGAGTCGCCAGCGCACGAGCGAGCGAGAGAGAGAGAGAGAGAGAGAGAGAGAGAGAGAGAGAGAGAGAGAGAAATATATATATATATATATATATATATGAAGAGAGAACGGTTTGGAGGAGCCGACGATGCCTGGAAAGCGTTTAGCACAACCGATATATTAGCTATTGGTCACGACATTGTCTACCGTTACATACGCTGTCGACATCGTTGCGGAAAGTGGGAGAGAAGAGAGGACCACACGTATATAATCTTCCTACTTTTCTCTTACTCGTTTCTCGGCTGATTCTCACGCTGGTAACCCACTCGTCGTCGGTCGGTACGTCGGTGTATCGCCCGTGGCTGTGTACCAAGATTAAACTCTCAGGAATGAGGGTATTCCACTTTTTTCCGTTTCTTCCTTTTTTCTTTAAGTTACAACGCGCCGCTCGGTCATGAGATTAACCCTTTTAACCGGAGCGACGCGTCGTTCCGATATTTCCGCGCCGCGTAGAATTCGCTCCTCCCAGTCGATCTGTCCGGTGTGGTAACACCTTGATTTTCCTCACAGACACTTTCCACGATTATTCGTGTCTTATTTCACAGCACAAATATGAGGACTGTAAAATCTCTAATAGCGAATTCGGCAGCTTGCACTCAGTGCGTCACCGTCAAATTGACGTCGATTTAACATCGTTTCGACATCGACGAGTCATTTCTCACTGGGTATATTTTTTAAACATTCAATTCATTTTACGTACAGTGTACACATGTAATTATTTTACATAATGCAAAGCGTTAAAAACAATTTTGCCTGTCTCTCTTCCAGGAAATCCCAACGACAAAGTCCTGTTCGCCAGGTGTCGGTCGATGCCCGGCCGTCTCGAGAGGCGACACTCTCTGCGGCTTTGGGGCTCGGCCAGACGTTTACACAGAAGCGGAAGTTCACGGTCCCTACCGCGCAGACCTGAAAGGAGCGACACGTCTTCCAGCGCGGAATACGCGAGCACGGACAGCGCGCCTCACAGTCCAACCAGTGAGTCTAATCGGGGAAGGGATTGCGTGGTGATGGGTGACTGCTTTAATGGGTGATGGGTGAATCGTTTCTATCCACAATGCTCCCGATTGTATATAGCTGTCCTTTCAAGAGCATAATTTCGGGGCTTTTTAGCGTTACATAATTTTAATTATATTTGTATTCGAAGGATGTATTCGCAGATCGAGCGATTTTTATTTGGCGCCTCTTTGAAAGTCGATCAGCTGATTATCACTAAACACAGTGAATAGCTGACTGAAAATCGCAATGGTAGAGCAAAGTCCTTCTATTATGAGATACGCTTCTAACAAGAGATAGCGGAGTTTCTGCCAAATTAATAGGCATCATCTGTTGGTTCCACCATGAATTTATTGTCCTTGGAGTGAAATCTCTGTTTAGTGGAAAATTGATTGTTAGATCGCGTAATCGTTGCGGAAAAAGATTCATGATTGAATTTGGACGTTGAAAACCTACTAACTCATAATAGAGATTTTCTTTTCTCTATACTTACAACTGTAAATCAGTGAATATTCACTGATTGACTTTTACAGAGATGCATTCTACCTTTTTCTGGTTAATAGTTTTGCGACAAACGTCCTAACTAGGGACAATTATAAACAATTGCAATTATTGCGGAATATCCTATGTACATATAGCTCGTATAATATTACAATCCAGATTGCAGCTTCGTAGTCACCCTGTAGCTGGCAAGCCCTTTCCTCGTTGTCTTCTAACAAAGCGCAACAAAATCCAAATCCTTTCCTCAAGGCTTTTCCGGGATTTTTTCAGAGAAGATAGGCCTGCTCTCCAGGCTCTTTCGGCGGAGCACAAGGAGGAAGGGCGCACCGTTAATGGGCACTTTCAGTGCTCAGTATCCCCCCACCGAGTGGTTTAATCCGCGCGTCGTGCATCTGCATAGCGTTGCCACGCAGACAAGGGCCGCCAGCCCTTCGGTAAGTTGCACGCACTTCCCGAGAAGAACTAGCAAGACAAAACTGCTTACGCGGTACTTCTAGCGCCGCAAGGCCAATTAACCGGTTTCCCTGACAATTAATGAAAATTCTTGACGCGACAACAAAACGAGCCATCAGCGACGTTGAACTTGAAAAGTTAATAACAATAAATGGATGCAAACGATCGATATAATTGGATTTGGAATTGAATTAAAAGCAGAAAATAAGGATGTCTTGGTCGTAGCGAACTTTGGATCAGAAAATTAGATCGATTGAAATTTCTTCGCAGATGATGGAGGGTCTAGACCAGTCGCAGGCCAGTTTCCAAGTATGGGACGACTCGAGCTCGGTGCGATCGGCCACTTTACCAAGGCGACATCGGCGCCAAGCCAGCGGCGACTCCTCGAGCTTGTTGGCCAACTCGACGCCAAGGAGCTCGCGAAGGCATCGGTCACCGTGCTCCACTCTGCCGAGGTCCAAATGCTCCAGTCTGAGCAGATGCACGTCCAGAGCGTCCGTTCTGCCGCCCAGCACCACCAACCAGGAGGGCTATCAAGCGCGTAATCAGACGCCGAACGATAAAAACTCGACGAATTCGTCGCCCAGCAGAAGCGGCGGCAGCTCCGGTTCGGTTAGAACGATGAATGCCAGCCCGGCTAAGACGGCTACGTTGGGGAGGCCTAACACCAGGCAGTCCAACTCCAGAAGACCAAGTCACGACTTCAGCAACGGCGGCACCAAGTCGGCCAACGGCTCTCCGCAGCACAAGGTGAATTCATAGCTTTGTTACAAATATATAACGAAATATTTACATGAACGTGTACTTTCCTTCATAGAAGAAAAGACTTGTAAATATTTCCAGTCATTATTTACAAATGTATCGAAAAGTGCAAAATTTGTTTGGATAATAACAGATCGATTAGTCTATGTAATCTCGATATAATTTAAAAAATTTTCTTCGTTTCAATTTTTCTGTTATCTCTGAACAAAGAAATTTTGTTATCTCAAGGTGCTGCAAAAAACTTCGTCGGGCCACTCGTCTCACTCTAGCGGCAAGTCGGTTTCCAGTACGAAATTGACTTGTTCGCCATTGAAGACGGCCACGCTGTCGACGAAATCGTCACCGCTCAAAGTCGTTCAGCAAGGTTCGCTGACTCCTCTGCAAGAGGCACAGAACTCGATAACCCTTCAGGTGTCCACCAATCTGAGCCCGTCGTCGCAGGAGCAACGGACGATACAGAATAGCGTGACGCTGGCTTCTAACACGACCAGCACGACGACCATTTCCGGCTCGCCCGGCACGAAGATCTACGTTCAGCAGAATAACTCACCGATGAGGTCCGTAATCACTTTCGAGAACGGCACGGTGAAGACGAAGATTGCCGAGAAGGAAGTCATCGACTGCAAGGAGAAGCAGGAGAGGGAGCTGGTGGCCGAGAAAGCCTACAAGACCCGGGTGGACGACGAGAAGCTTTTTAAATCGAAGCTAGACGACGAGAAGCTGAACAAGCCGGTCAAGGCTGAGCGTCCGTCGTCGCTGTACGCGTCGAAGGAACCAAAAGCGAGCCTTTTACTGTCGGAATCCGACAAAGAGAACAAGCCGAAAGTCGAGGATGAAGTGCCTAATAAGCTAAAACTGACCAACCGCCTCAACAATAGTCAGGCCCATCTGATCGACGGCTCGACCAACAACGTCGACAAGAACGCCCTGGTGCACGAGGCTGCCGCGTTGTCCACCACGAAGAACACCAACGACGCGATGAACAACTCGCGTAAGCTCAGCTTGTCGCTGTCGAAGGACGCGCTGAGCTACCGCAATCTACTTCATCCCGGTTCGAAGAACAACATCGCCTCGAACCCGCCGTCGCCCACCAAGTCGTACGACGGCTTCGGCGGCTCCTTCAACGACGTCTACATCGAGAACCTCGAGACGGTGAAGCAGCAGCGGGCTCCTCAGGGCTCCGAGCCCAACCTGGACAAGACCGTGAGCCGAGGCTCGGATCTGCACTCTTATCCCAGTCTCAGCGACATGCAGGTGCAATTTACCAGCCTGGCGGCGCAGAAGATCCTCAAGGGCTGCCCGATCAACAGCGTCGACACCCTGGTGGAGGTGAACATGGCGGCCGCCGATAAGCCCAACAACTGCGACGTCACCGTTCACACGGATTTCGGCCTCGTTTGAATTTCGTCCCCTCCCAAGAAACAGCCTTCGATTATCGTACCATAAGGGTGGGACGAGGGGTTGATTCTCGCGTCCCGTCCGAGCATATTGCGTCCATAAGAAAAAAAAAAAAACAACGTGCCTCGAGGCGAGCAGTATCGAAGGAACGTCACTAACGCCTTGCTTCTCATACACGAGGATAGAAAGCTACTCTTTTCCTTCTTAAGTTTTGTTTGTTAGTGGAAAAAGGCCACGGCTTGCGTAAGAATATTGCACACGGAACATGCGTAACAGTTACCAGTGATCTGTCGCTTACGTACATTTCTCCTCTCTGTGTTCTTTAATGAGCATCCGTGTTCCCGAACGATCGCTGTGCCAATCTTTTGTACTGTCCGGATTTATCAATCAAATTTTCGATCTCGCTTTGAGGCGATTTTTTCAAAGACCACCCCGAAAAAACACCCCCCCCCCCCACGATCGAATTACTGAACGTTTTAATATATAGAATTTCAAATTGAATTGTAAATCGTACAATCGAATGACAGACACCCGGTGAGAAATGACTCGTCGATCGATGTCGAAACGATGTCGGATCGACATCGACACCGTCAGATCCCGGTGAGAAATGATCCGTCGATCGTTGTCGGTTCGACATCGTTTCGACATCGACCGACGAATCATTTCTCACTGGGATTGATGTCGAGTCGACGTCAATTTGACAATGTCGATTCGACATAGTTTCGACGAATCATTTCTTATCGGGCAGGTACTTTGTCCTCGCGTTTCGTCAAAGTTGCACCGGAAAGACATTGATAATGCTCTCTCGGGCAGGCGGCAGTCACCGTCTCAAGTATCAGTTTTTGGTAACCCGGGTATCCGAGAATGAAGTACACCTGACTCTTTTCAAGACTCGTAGGATTCGTGGGTACACGCGCGCGTCGTAACGTTTGTAACATCGACGGTTTTGCGTCGCTTTACTCGAGCTAAAGCGACTTGTCAAAGCGACATATCTCGTGTACAACGGTCACGCGCGACCCGCAGAGCAAACGGGGAGGAGGTGAAGGACCTTTTCCGAATTCAAGGCACTGCCATTTTTCAAACTGCGCACTCACACTTCCGGGCATTTTTTATACTAATCTACTACGCCGTCGCGGCGATAAACGGACCTTCGGGCCTTCGTAGCGAAGTAAGAGTAAACGGTACAGCGAAGTTTTGTAACGCGATGCGTTTAGGGGGGGGGGGGGGAGAGAGTCCTGTGAAATCTCTCTTTCGGACGATAACGTCGCGATAAAGCGGCGAAATGCCTTTATCAGGCGCGCTATTAAGCGCGAGCTTAACCGACCTAAAAATTAATAGCAATACCGTCCCCAGGAAGCCCGGATAACGTGGAAAGGATCGAGGAACGATCTTGCGAGGGTCGCGACTCCCGTTGCGCCCCGCGCACAGCGGAGATTTGATATCAAATATACATATGTTATACATAGCGTAGAGGAAGGGCGTTTTTTTCCCCCGGAGCGCGCGGCCGGTACCATTCGCAATTAGTGCAATCGTAAAATCTGTAAGTGCCAAAACTTATCGTAGTACTTAATAACGACCGCCTTAACGATTCCGTTCGCACGGCGATTTCGCGCGGTGCCGTTTCATCGGGCGGCGACGACGCCCAGGCGGGAAGTGGCTTGTCGATCGACGTCGCAACCACGTGAGTGCGACGGACTCGATGTCGATCGACGAGCCACTTCTGACCGGGCGGTGACGATTTCGGGTCAGGCGCGAGCAAACGCGCGGGAAGAAGGAGAGGGAATGAATCTTAAGTAACGCCAATCGCGCGCGAAGCCGTAGTTTTATATTGTTAGAGAGAGGAAATAAAAGAGGTAGGGAATTAACGTGAGCACGAGAGACGAGGAATGAGAGCCCGCTTTGTACATTTCGTACTCTGTACCGCAGATTAACCGATCGACGACGCGGGTTCGCTCTACGTTTCGAAAAGCGCCGACTTTCCGCTGGTGTCGTTTCTTTGAGTCACCCGTCGTTATCGATTAAATAATTACGAGTGTCGTGCGTCGATTGGTGCCAGAAATAATTGTCGCTTGCGAATTATTGCTGCTACGCAGGTAACAATTCTTTATGGCGCTGCTGTATAAATTATTATTATTATTAGCGCTAATCTGTATAAATTATTAGTATAATTGATCTTTTAAACGGTTTAATGCGACTTGAAATATATTCAGAAATTTTTTGACATCGATCTCGGTACAAACACACGCGGGAGATTTTTAATTATTTACATTATAATTGAACTAATGTGTGATATTTGAAAATTTGTCAAGGATGATATTGAGGTCCGTTAAAAATGAGTTCAAAGCTCGATTGATTCAATTGTCGGGTGATATTTCAGTAATGGATACAATTGATAATTTCTTATCGATAAACGTGTTGTTAAAACAACAAAGAGATTAGAGATTACGATTAGAAATTTTTCCTCGAGCGACTCTGCCGGTCGAACGACTATGTGTCCACTTCTACCGGTGTAGATCAACTTTAATCTCGGTTAGGTCGTTTACCGTTTCCTAATTTCAATTCTCGGAATTGGAAGGAGACACAAAGTGGGTCAAACCGGGATCAGAGCTGATCTGCGTCGATAGGAACCCAGAGATAGCGCGGAGAATCCAAAGAGTATCCAAAGAGAATTCTTTCTGAATTCTCGAACTGCAAATGAATTCTTTCGAACTCCATTTCTGCCCTAAAAAACATTCTCCAAGAGTCCAAAAAGAATTCGTCCTTACGTCACGAATTCTAAGCTCCTTTTCAACTTCAATCCCGTTCCACGAGAAGTCGGGAAAAGTGTTCCATGGAGTCCTTTTCCAGCGAGAAACGATGTCGAATCGACATCGACGCCGTAAAATTGACGTCGATTCGATATCGCCTTCGCGTCGTCAATTTCAAGCTCTTTTTTTTTTAGCTTTAATCTCGTTCCACAAGAAGTCGAAAAGCATTCCATGGAGTCCTCTTCAAACCATCGGAAGGGCAGCCTCTCTGATGCTTCCATTTCGAGTACGTTACATTCGGAGAGAATTTAAAAAGACAAACGAATCCTCTTTGAGTTTCGATCACCTGCGTTTTGGGAGTGGACGTAGAAGTTATCCGATTACATTAATCGGAGGATACGGCGGACGTCGCTCTCGGGTCCACATTCCCTCGGGGAAAGTCGGCGTCCGCGAGCGGCGGGAACGTTTTCCGAATCCGCGCCCCTTATTTCTTATCAAAACTAACTTGTAGAGTACCACTGTATAATCTCACGTATCATTATAACAACGAAAGCATATGAGTAATAAAGAAAAGAGTTGAAAAAGGCGTCGTTACATGCATTATTGCGCGGGAATCACTTACCGCCACGGAGTTCGAAAGGTCTTGTCCAGGCGCGGCCGCCATGACACTCGGATCACAGTATAACCAGTATGCCCACTCTCTGTCGGCACCTTTGATCTGAGCCACAGTATAA